CCTCACACACTTTTCCCTCCCCCTCCTCACCCCTTCCTCACATGGCTTTCTAGAACCCTTTCCTGGTCCTGACACTCCATCACCTCCAACTTCCCTCCTCTGACCCCTGCCCGAGCCTCATCCCTCACCAGGTCCCTAACCCCCTTCTCACCTATTTACGCCACCCTTCAATAACCATGAGGGCCAAATATCTCCTGGGCACTACATTCAGACTCTTAACTCAGCCCTTGCTGGCTGGGCGAGCCAGGAAATGACCTAATTTCTGTTTCCTCTTCTGTAAAATGGGGCTGACAACTTCCCCTAACTCTTGGGGCTGCCGTGCGACCGAGCAGGCCAAGGCTTGCCAGACCCTTGCCTCACACACACGATGGGCTCCTGAAAGTGTTGATCTTGTTTGCTGTCATTTTTGTAGTCAATTGATACTTTGTGCCAGGTCCTTTGCTGGACAGTGCTGGGTGGGAGTGTGTGGGTGGAGTACGTGCGAGATCTGGAGAGCTGATGAAAGTATCCAAGACTGTTCTTGGGAGAGGGGTCATGGATGAATCTGATCAAGCAGGCCCATAGGGCCCCGAGCGATGCTATAGATGCTAATTAGACTACTAGGAACCGTGGGCAGCACCCAGCCTTAAAGAGTTGTCCACTAATGCCTGGCAGTGGGGCAGGACTCTCCTTCTGCTTCTCCCACCTCCAGACCACCTAGACCCAAGACGCTCCAACCTGGGCACTCTTTCCTCCCTGGGCCGCTGTGGTGGGGTGTGGAGGGCAGGGAGAGGGAGGGATGCTGCCTTCCCATCACCCAAGAAGCTCTCACTGGAGTTTGGAGGAAGAATACAGGGGACTGCCTGGGATGGGGAGGGTCTCCAGAGGGTTCTACAGGGTAGGTGAGGAGAATGGGAAAAATGCCAATGGAGGAGGACAGAATACAGGAGCCAAATGGAGGAGGCAGGAGAGATGTGGATTCTTTTGGGGAACTTCTTGTTCTAAGTACTCAAGGCCTAGGTGGGGATGGGGGACTGGCAAGGCCCCTCACAAAGTTGGGACCCCTCTGACTGCAAGGAATGGGTGCCTTCTGCCCAGTGGAGAAGGCAGGGACAAGGAGTTGGGGCAGCGTTGAGTGAGGAAGTTCCTGGGGGCTGACTGAGTGGGGACTACACGTCAGAGAGCCAGGCCCAGGCCCCAGGGTGAACCTGGGAGGGTGGGTGAGAGAAGTGTCTGGCCAGAGATGGGAGTCTGGAGGCATGCAGGGCCATGTGTGGAGGGGTTCCAGCCCGCTCCCCCACGGCAGGGTCCACGGAGCGCAGCCACATGCCCTCAATTATATGTTGACTGATTACTCATTAGTAATTAAACAGGAGCTCTGAGCTGCTCCAGGCTCCCTCCTGCCCTAGTCCCAAGCACTGGGCACCAGACGCACAGCCTGGGCTGAGCTGAACCCTGGTGGGGGGTGGGGGGGTGGGGGGGAGGACGGGGTAGAGGTGGTAAGTGAAAGGGGGATACACAGGGGCAGCCTCCGTCCATTTCAGTGAGAAGTGCCCCGGGTCTGGGGCCTGGGGGGCAGGGCAAGGGACAGGAACAAGGAGCCTGCACATGGGGAGCTGAGGAAGGGAGGAGAGTTGTCAAGGCCAGAGGAGGGGTGGAGAGGCCAGGGGCGGGCTGCGGGCTCATGTCCAGGGAGGTCAACATGTGCCTGCACCAAGGGGGGCTTCCTGGGAGCAAGGCCACACAGGCTCTGCACTTGCGGGTTTGTTCCTCGGAAACTGGGTCTGTGTCTCTGTCAGGAACACCCAGGGCTGCGGGGGAGGGGAGGGAGCGCGGTGGATTGAATTACCTTTCAAGTCTAAAGCCTGGATTCCTCTGGGCCTTGCAGGTGGGCATATGCACACATTCCCGAGAGAGCACTGTGGGGTGCTGGCTGTCACTAGGGAGCCAGGAGGCTCACTCCAGCTCTAGTTTCTTTTCCACAGGCAAGGAGAAAGGGGTGCCTATGACCCTGGGGGCAGGCAGAGTCAGGGGAAAGGGGAGGTATCTGACCGGGTCCCAGTCTGCAGCCCCTCAGACAGGACTGGAAAGATTTAGTTTGAACTTAGACTCTGCCGTGTTTTAGCCACATGTGACCTTGGCACATGACTCAAGCTCCCTGGTTTCCTCACCGAAAAAGAGGATAATAATAATGATAACAGTGGCATGAGCCAGCCTGACTATGTGGCAAACACTGCGCTAAGCACTTTATTTCTTTATATCCTCACACAGCCCTAAAGGGTAGGTACTGTTGATCTCCCCATTTTACAGATGAAGAAACAGGACCTCAGAGAGGTTAAGTGATTTTCTTACAGTCACACAGCCTGTAAATGACAAGGTTGGGACTCTGTCAGATCTCAGAGCCTTATCCTGAATGATGTATGGTACCCACATCTCAGGGTCTCTGTGAAGAATAAATGAGATAATGTACATAAAGAAGTATTTAGGGGGCGCCTGGGTGGCTCAGTCGGTTAAGTGTCTGACTCTTGGTTTCAGCTTGGGTCATGATCTCCGGGTCTTGGGATGAGTCCTGCATGGGCTCCCTGCTCAGCGGGGAGTCTGCTTCTCTCTCTCCCTCTGTCCCCCTCCCCGCTCACTCACTCGTGCTCTCTTTTTCTCTCAGATAAATAAATACAATCTTTTTTTAAAGATTGTATTTATTTATTTGACAGAGAGAGAGAGACAGCGAGAGAGGGAACACAAGCAGGGGGAGTGGGAGAGGGAGAAGCAGGCTTCCCACCAAGCAGGGAGCCCGATGCGGGGCTCGATCCCAGGACCTTGAGATCATGACCTGAGCCAAAGGCAGACGCTTAACGACTGAGCCACCCGGGCGCCTCTAAATAAATAAAATCTTAAAAAAAAAAAAAGTATTTAGCCCAGTGCCTGGCTCAAGAGTGCTCAAGAGACAGTGCTAAGGTTGTTAGCGTGCATTCATCCGCACAGGTGTTTGAGGTTTCCTTTTAGGCTGCTCAGGTGGCGGGGGCTGAGGAGAGGATGGAGAAGCTGGTTGTGGGGCTGGGGGCTGGGCAGACAGCTGCAGGGAGGCTGTGGTCCAGGGGGCAGGAGGGCAGAGGTAGGAAGCGAGGGCTGGGTGCATAAAGCTGGGGAAGGTGGGGCAAGCAGAGTAGAGGAAGAGGAAGTGAGTGACTATGTATTTACTTAAAGATTTTGCTCCAGTGATCGCCTCATTGGCCAGACATCTGGTTTTCCTGGATGTCCCCAGTGAATGTAAATCAGACAGCATTACTTCAGCCGCTCCAATGCCAGCCAGCCCGGGCTCGCTTACACTGGCTGGCTCACAGGGCTCAGGACACTACCCTCCAGGATGCAGGCCAGGAGAGTAGTGGGTCTGTCCCTGGAGCTCACTGGGAGGCAGTAGGAATCGCTTCTGCCTGCTGGTCACTCTCCTCTCACCGGCTCAGAGCCAGAAACAGTGGGGTTCGACTCCATGCGCTCTACCTCCCCATCCTGACCTTCCCTCGCAGGTGTGGGGGTGTGAGGTGGTTAGGAGCTGAAGAGGGCCCTCTCCTCCAAGCCTCTCCTCTCCTTAGTCACCTGGAGAGGAGATTCAATGGAGGGAGGCCCACCAGGCAGCTGCCCAGGGCACCCATCTTGACGGGGCGCTAAAGCTTCACCGGTCACTTAACGAGTCGGAAAAAAAGAGTATTTCCCAGGCTTGAGCCTCAGGGTGGGGGTGGAGGTTGGCAGGAACACTTCCATAAGCTGCTGGGCACAGAGGTGAGATCCCCGCAGGGTGCTCAGACTACAAGGATTGTTCATTAAACTCCTTTAGGAGGAGGGGAGTCCTAGAGAACCAAAGGATTGTGGAGTAGCTCAGTGGAACTGGCAAGGTTAGGACCAGAGCTGAGTTGTTTGGGCTGATGGAAGAGAGGCTGAGCGCGCCAGCCTGCGGGCCCCTGGCGGTAATGGGGGCTTCCTGCCCAGTCCCTACGCAGCCTCTCTCCCAAGTAAACATTAAACAAATATTGAAAGACCGTTGGTTGGAAGAGGCACCGAATTATTAGCATGCCCTTGGCTCTCTTATTCATGAGTCCAGTCCTGTTGCAAAAGTACCATAATGATGGCTTTAACGATTCCCTTTCCTGTCTTGGGTCCTGAGCCAAAGGCAGACCCTGAGCAGGGTCCTGACTGCATGCTTTTCAATTGTTTATTCATTCTTTCAGGCATTCATTCAACAGATATTTCTAAGCACCTACTGTGTGCCAGGCACTGTTCCAGGTACTGGGGATACACAGCAAACTGCTTCCTCTCTCCCACTGCTCAGCACCCTGTGTGTGATTGAATCAGCAGAGATCTAGAGTCTTCTGTGTGCCTGGACTGGATTGGGGTGGGGGTGGGGGATCAGAAGAGATTTCAGGCTTGGTCTCTTTCCCAGGAGAAAACCATCTCCTTGGGCGACAGGAAGCCGCAGTAGAGATATCTTTTTTATGCCTGTCCCCAGCCCAGCACCAGCTTTTCATGCCCTCAGGACCTGGTGTGAGCTTATAAATTCATGCGGTGTTCAGGAAGATGTGTGCGTGTGTGTGTGTGTGTGTGTGTGTGTGTGTGTGTGTTTCTCCCTGAGCAGAGCTCCAGACTGGGCAGCTGGAGTGAGGAGGGGGGCGCCAGGCTCCTCCCCCAACCCCTACTGTGGCCCCCTCCAGGGCCTCTCTGCTGGGTGCCACTGCCCAGAGGAAGGGAACGTCCAAATGCCGGTCCCCAATGGTTTCTCTCAGTCACCTCAGGAGAGGACCCGCAGGAAGGCCAAGAGGCAGGAGGGACCCTAGGGCTTGAAAGGCATCCTCCCTGAAAAATGCAAGACCTTCTTAGAGCACATGCTCCCTTCTCCCCACCCCCCCGCCGCACTACCGCTGAGATCACTCCGTTTAGCTGCCTGGGCTTCTGGGCATTATTCCAATATTGACAATATTGAAAGGTCTCCAGGGGCCCCAGTCCTGATAGCCCCGTCCCCTACCCCTTACCTGACTTGGAGGAAGAGGAGACGGAAACCCCCGAAGTCAAGGGTTCTTCTCCTCCACACTGCAGCCCTGACCTGGACCCCTCCCTAGAGTCAGAGACCGATGGGAATGTTCCTGGAGGCTTTGGGGAAAGCAGCGAATCCCCTCCACCTCAACCCTGGGGCCAGGGCCAGGGCTGCCGCGGCAGAGGAAGGCCCAGGGAGGCAGAGGGTGAACGGGGGAGAAACTGGGGGCTGGGTCTCACGTGCCAGGAGGGAGAAGCTATGTCTCCACAGGCGTCCCCCCAACACACTGTCTGACAGAACGAGCTGCGTCCTTGTGCCTCTATTTTTAGTTAGAACTGGAAGGAAAGGAAGTTGGGGGGCCAAGCCACCAGCCCCATCTCCTGCTGCCAGCACCCACACCACATGGTGCGGAGCCCCAACTCCTCCGGGAGGCGGGACAGGGCTGTCACCTGCCAGCGCAGCTGCTGAGCCTCACAGGTAAGATGAGGGGACATGCTCTGGATGGGGGCTGGGGAGGAAGTGCTGCTTCCTTTCCCAGGCCCAATGCCAGAGCTCTGCGTTAGGTCTCCCTGGCAGCGTAGAAGCTCCTGGAAGAGGACTTAGGTAAGGCGCGGCTTTCTTTCCTGGGCTCTTTGAGAGGCGCCCCCTCCCCCGCACCCCCCCACGCACCCACTTCCTCTTTCAAGATTTAAAGATCTTGACCTCTGTTAGGTATTTGGGGGCCTACTTTTCCTCAGGGGGGTATTTGTATGAGGCATGAGCCCATAGTCTCTCCTCCACGCACCCCGGCAGCGGAGCTGGGGGCAAAGAGGGGGCAGTTTCCAGTGTTCCCTCCTCCCCAGCAGGAGAAGGGCTCCCTGGCTTAAATTCCCCAAGCTGCTGTGGTCATTCCCTGTGGGTCAGGGAAAGGCAGTTCGGGTGGCCGCAGAGTGTAGTTGTTAGAGCTTGGACTCTGCAGTCAGACAGACCCGAGTTCAAGTCCTGACTCCTCCACCTACGAGCTGTGTGACATTGAGGAAGTGGCTAAACCTCTCCGGATGTCTGTTTGCTTCTCTGTAAAATAGGGATAATTATAGCACCTGCTCCATAGGATTGCTAAAGATTAAATGAGGTGATGTGAGAAAATACACACAGTAAGTACTTAACTATTAGTTAAGGAAGTGTTAAAAGCAGAGCCAGTCCTGGGTCTGAACCCCACTGTGTGGCTGCTCTCAGGCCCCTGTTGCAAATATTTCCTCTCAGATCTGACTGGCTTTGTTCGCCCCATTACTGCCCCCCCAAAGTCTCAAGCCTCTGACTCCCAGGCCAAAAGCAAATGTATAGCCCACCCTCTACCTGCAGAGTGGAAAACTTGCTCCCTCTGGCCAGCAGCTGCAGTTCCAAGGGCTCTCCACCCCCATCATCCCACTCTTGCCCGCCAGGCCAAGGTGGCTACACACCAGGAATCCCGGTGGAAGTGTGGCCTGAGGCACCTTGAGGGGTGGGGTTGGGGACAGGAGGGTGAAGGGCATCTCAGACAGGACCGGCCCAGGGAAGAGAGTAGAAATGATGCAGTGAAGACTACGCAAATACAGAGTAAGAGTTTCTGTGGGTGGTAAACGCTTTGGAGGAACCACTGGGTGAGGTAACCAATTTCAGGGGTAGGGGAGGTCCATGAACCTTCTGAAAGTGTATTCTAAGAGAGGATCCATAGCCTTCCCCAGATTCTCCAAGGGATCTAGGACCCCAAATCGGCTAAGAACCACTGTGGACTCTGGTCCAGAAGTCAGGAGATCTGTGCATTGAATCTTGTTTGCCTCCCACTCCTCAGGCAGCAGCCTTCCTCCTCAGTTTCCCCACTTGCTCCATGAGGAGGTTAAACCAACTGAGGTCTGAGGTCCGGGTGGGTCATCCCAGGACTCTGTGAAGTCTGATGAGCAGTGACAGAATAACCAGAACTGAGGCTTGGGAGGCAGGCCCCCAGGAAGGTGAGAGGGGGCCCTATCCTACCCCTTCCCAGAAGCTGACTTGGTCCATCAGCCAACATGTCAGCCAGCCAGCCGACAGAAACTGAGCTGCATCCCTCCACCAACCCGGGAGGCTGTTGTCATGGCAACTTCATATTTATCCACTTTAGCTCCTAATTAAGGGGAAAAGCATATAACATATTGGATGTCAAGGAGGCTTTGTGAGCCTCAATTTAGCAGCCGTGCCTGGATGTCAACCTCAAGCGTGATTTCTGTTAATCACCTTCCAAAATACCTAGACAGGTCACAAAGGGAAAGGTCTCCAGGAGTGGGGGGCAGCTGGGCCCAGGGGAGGTGAGGTGTTGGGGAGGGCAGTGAGGGGAGAGTTCTTCAGTATCATGACCTAGGGGGCTGCTGTGTAAATCTTCGCTCTTAGGGTGTGTGATGATGAGGTCTGTGGGGACCATGGCTGGGTCTGTTCCCACTGACCCTGAGTCAGGGAGCTCTACCCTGGGGACACCCAAATCAAGGCTCTTGGACTGGAGAGAGGGACTGACCGATTGATGAACAAGAAGCATATAAGTACCATCTGGTGGCCTCTGATGTCAGAAGGAAGATTGACAGATGACCAGGGCTGGTGGGGGCAGGCTGCGTGGATAGCTAGCTGGGTGGGTGGATGCCTGCACCATGGCAGATGGAAAGTCTGGTGGGTGTCCACTTAAGAGGCGCTGACGGGGTGACAGGATTCACCAGAGCCTCTGTGATCTCCCAGAGGATTGCCTGGCCCCTCTACGCCGGCTCAGGACCCAGGCATTCTGAGGCGCTGGCTGGAGCAAGCCCTGGTCTGCTTCCTGCCTGCCATCTGAGCTGCGGCCAGAGCCACGTTCCCAGGAGAAGCTTCGGCAGGTCCCTGGGGACTTGGGAGGCAGGGAGTGGAGGTTAACAGAGTAAGGGTAGGAGTGGGGACACCCAGGGGAGGATGGCAGCAGGGTGGTTAAGAGCATGAATTATGGGGTCAGACCTAGGGTAGAGTTTCAGCTTGGCTATTTACACTTGTGTGACTTTGGTCAAGTCACCTAAGCTCTCTGTGCTTTGGTTTGTCTCATCTCTCAGATGGGGATGATGATAATTCATACCTCATAGGACTCTGTGGGGTTATAACGAGATGATAAATGTAAGGAGCTGGGGCGCCTGGGTGGCTCAGTCGTTAAACGTCTGCCTTCAGCTCAGGTCATGGTCCCAGGTCCTGGGATCGAGCCCCGCATCGGGCTCCCTGCTCGGCGAGGAGCCTGCTTCTCCCTCTCCCACTCCCCCCGCCCCGCTTGTGTTCCCTCTCTTGCTGTGTCTCTCTCTGTCAAATAAATAAATAAAATCTTTAAAAAAAAAAAAAAAAGTAAGGAGCTTAGCACAGTGTCTGGCACATGGTATGTGCTCATAGCTGTGTAGGCATTGTTAGTAAAAGTGACAGCCCTGGAAAGGAGGGGCAGACTCAGGGTGATGGAATGCTGGGCCTAGAGGCGGGTGAAGGAGCATTTACCTTCTGGCCACTTTTGGCCAAGGCTCCAAGAGAAAGAACCCACAGAAGGGAGCCCTGATGAAGGCAGGGGACAGGCTGGGAGCTGAGTGAGGGTGTGAGGATAATTGGAACTTGCTGGGCCTTCTTAGGATGTGTTTCAGTCTCAAGGGGGCAGTGGAGAGGAGGTCCTTGTACTCAAAGTCTCGATGTCACCTAAGGGCCGGAAAGGACCTTAGGGCAGCCTGAACCTGGGAGATCCTTAGAACTAACTGGGATGATTCTACAAGATCTACTGTCTGGGTTCTCCCCACATCTCCTGAATGAGAATCTCGGGGGTGGAGCGTGGGAAACTGTTGTTGGTTTTTTTTTTTTAAGATTTTATTTATTGGGGGCGCCTGGGTGGCTCAGTTGGTTAAGCGACTGCCTTTGGCTCAGGTCATGATCCTGGAGTCCTGGGATCGAGTCCCGCATCGGGCTCCTTGCTCAGCGAGGAGTCTGCTTCTCCCTCTGACCCTCCCCCCCTCATGCTCTCTCTCTCTCTCTCAAATAAATAAATAAAATCTTTAAAAAAAAAAAGATTTTATTTATTGGGATGCCTGGGTGGCCCATTCGGTTGAGCATCGGCCTTCAGCTCAGGTTGTGATCCCAGGGACCGAGTCCCGCACGGGGCTCCCTCCTCCCTCTCCCCCAGCCTGCTGCTCTGCCTGCTCGTGCTCTCTCTCTCTGTGTCAAATAAATAAATAAAACCTTTTATTTAGTGATCGAGAAAGAGCATGAGTGGGGGGAGGGGCAGCGGGAGAGGGAGAAGCAGGCTCCCTGCTGAGCAGAGAGTCCAAAACAGGGCTCGATCCCCAGATCCTGGGATCAAGACCAGAGCCAAAGGCAGATGCCCCACCGACTGAGCCACCAAGGTGCCCCGGGAAACTGGTTTTAAAAAACTCCCAGAAACTGGGCACCTGGGTGGCTCAGTCAGTTGAGCATCCAACTCTTCATTTCAGCTCAGGTCATGATTTCAGGGTTGTGAGATCAAGCCCTGCATCCGGCTCTGTGCTCAGCCTGGAGTCTGCTTGTCCCTCTCCCTCTGCTCCTCCCCACTGCTCACTCTCTCTCTAAAATAAACAAAAAAAATCTTAAAAAAAAAAAAAAGACTCCCAGGAAAGCCTGATAACCCAGAGGCCAGTGTGGGTCGGACCTGGCAAGAGCTGGAAGACGGGGTGGACAAGCCCTCCTCACCTTTTAGCAGTATCAGGGTTCTTCTATAAATTGTATTCAAAAAGAAAGAATTCTGCAGCTAAAAAGTTTAAAAAACCTGTATTATGGTAATAATAATAATTAGAGCTAACATTTATTGATTGCTGACTGGGAGCCAGGCACTATGTTAAGTGCTTCATGTGGATTAACTCCTTTAATCTTCTCAACGGCTGTTGAGGTAGATCTTCCCATTTATACAGATCAGGAAACTGAGGTTCAGAGAGGTAGGTCAAAGGTCACAGTTCGTTAGTGGTGGATCCAGCATTTCAACCTGGGTGGTCTGAATCCACACCTGGGCTACCCTCCCGTTCTACGGTTGAGGAAACTCGAGTGCCAGAGAGGTGACGTGACTTTCCCAAGGCCCCACAGCAAGCTGGAGGCAGAGGAAGG